TCTCATATTCTTCCTGGGTATAGACACGGACTTTGAGTAGAGCCTCAGCATCAGCCAACTTCTTCTGGGTCTCCTCCAAGTCTTCCTTGGATTTCTTCAGCTCATCGGCGAGCTTGGAGGAGGAACCTTTCAGCTCATTCAGCTCCTGCTGAACTTGGGAAGCCTCTGTCTGAGCCTGGGCCACTTCTTCTTTTTTGGCCATCAGCTGATCCTCAGCCTCTTGGAGCCTAGCTCTCTGAGCTTCAGCAGCAGCAGCAGCCTCTGAGAGTTGGACATCCCTGGCTTGGAGCAGCTCTTCAGCAACCATTATGCTGGCTTCAAGAGCTTCTAGCCATTGCTGCACTTCAGCTTGTGCAGCAGCCCCTTCCTGGATTCGGCTCTCAATGGCAGCCTTGAATTTGGGGACGTCCACTCCCATGTGCTCCTGGAGGAATTTTTCCCCTTCCATCAATGGGGGAAAAACTTCCTTCTCCATAGCGTCGCAGAAGGTTTTGAGGGCTTCAGCAGCTTTTTTCTCGTATTCCTCACCCTTCTGCTGCTTCTCTTCAGCTGCTGCTTGCTTCAGCTTAGCAAGCTTTAACTCCTCTTCGGCTACCTTCTTGTCGTGCTCGGCAGCGTCTACCCTATCTTGTAGGGTATCTATCAGCTCTACAGTGAGAGTCTGATTGTGCACGAACTGAAAACAGGAGCGCAAGTTAAAAAAAAATATAATAAATAAAAATAGAGCCGAATTATAGAGCAAATAAATGCAAGGAAAATCACCTGCATCATCAGCAGTTGGTTAGACCTGGCTGGGTCAGGAACTGATCTGCTGGATTCGCCCATCCCAGCAGTGGCCTTCAGCGACCAGATTCTTGCCCTATCTACTTCGGACATGCCAGCAAAATCGCCGAAGTAGGCTGCAGCACCTTCTCGGTTCTGACCCCATATGAGGTCCCAGATGTGATCTGGGATTGGAATTCGGGGGGCCGAGAAACCCATTTCTCCAGATTGCAGAGTCTGGAAGGAAGGAAAGGATGATGACGGAGCTTCTTTAGCTTTGGATGGTTCAGCATCATCCTTCTCAGAAGAGTCAATTACTATGACCTCTTCTTCTTCAGGGGTGAGGACGAAAGCCTCAACCTCTCTTGCAATGTCTGCCGTGAAACCCTCAGCACTGGGCATCACGGCATCCTTATTTTTGTGCTCAGCAGCACTCTCCTGAATTTCTTCTTGGACCCCTCCCTTAGATTCGGGAGTTCTCTGATCCACCTCCATCTCAGGAGGTGGCGGAGGGGTCTTTTGAGGTGATTGGGTTGGTGGCCGGGGAACCCTCGGTGATCCATTACCTTCCTCGGGTTCCCTTATTTCAACGCCGATGGTCATCGGCCTCCGCTGAAAGTCATGAGGGCCGATGATGGCCATTCTTCGGCGCCTTTTCTGAAGGGGCTGCTCGTCCATGTCTGAGTCTGAAGACTCTTCTTGTATTTGGTCTTCGGGACGAATAGGGGCTTTCCCTTCACTGTGTCTGTTACTCTCTTCAGACTGTAACAGATAGGGGGGAGGAAGAATGTGAGTACAAAAAAAAAAAAAAAAAGAAAGACAAAGTTAAGTCTGAAAGCTCACCGAGGTCTTCAGCAAAGCCTCGTCTTCTTCAGCTGCCCTAGCTGCAGCTTCTTCTTCAGCAGCTCTGGAGGACCCTTCTCCTTCTTCGCAAGCTTCGAGAACCCGTGCAACCTCTTCGGCTGTACGGGCAGCTTCAGCTTCTTCGTCCAGCAGCTGAAACCAGGGGTCTCTCTTCTTCCACCAAGGCTTCTGCCTCTGATACAGAGCAACAGCCTCAATTTGGAAGTGGGAAGAGTCTAGATGAACTTCCCTATGCCTCGGTTCAGTGATAGACGGGGCCCGATCAGTTACAACTCGTTCTCGGTTGACGCCAAGACGAGCGTAGTTAATGCCAACGTTGGTCTCGTCCCGCTCTGAAAAAGAAAAGGGGAAAGGTCAGTTCAGTTAGGTTGGCACAGCATAAAAAAGCGAAGTGAGGAGAAAAAGAGATAATTTAAAAGCCTCGGCCCCAGCCGAAGAAGCTTACCATCCTTAAACTTTCGGCTGAGGCCAACAGCTGCTAGCATGTTCTCTTGGAAAACATAATGCGTATCGGGGAGCCAAGTCTCCGGGATATGCTGCATTCGGCCGCTGCCCCCCCGGTTCGGCAGCTTGCCGAAGATATTTTGTTGATCAAGGTTCGGAACCGGCCCGTTATCTGCGGGGGGACCTAGACTTCCCATGTCGGGATCAGGCTCAGCAAGGTACCGGGGAGCGCTGAAGACGCAAGGGTGGCCCGGATCCGTGGGTGCCCTAACCCAAATCCATTGACCTCTCCAGTCCTTGTCTGAAGAGTCGTTCGGCCACATGGTTAGGTACTGGGGCCGGGACTCAATCCGGTACCACCTAGAACCATGGCTTCCGTGCCCACTTTGGATATTTGGCACTAGCCGATGAAGCTTTTTGAAGCAGTGCAGGTTCGGCACATACTTGAAGAACTTGCAAACCCATAAGTATGTCATCACCCTTCGGATGCTGGTGGGAGTTAGTTGACATAGGGAGATATTGTAATGGATCAGCAAGTCTCGGACGAATACGTCCAAAGGGAACCTCAGCCCATACTGAAGCTGTCTTGTGTACACCCCCACATACCCCGGGGGTGGACGATGGATTCTATCGAATGCCACGGGCATTCGGCACCAATACCCATCAGCTTCAAAAATGCCGTAATGCAACTCAATTTGCTCGACGAACCGATATTGTTCGGCATTCTCCACCCACCATGAGTAGGGGCGGTTCTTTATCATGGCCGAAGCTACTTCGGCATTCTCCCACTCTGAAAACCCGGGGATGATATCCCAAAGGACAGCGAGAACTTCATCGTCCCGTCCAGAAGCGCTCGGCCCCTCCATTCTCTGAGGAGGAGCCGAGGAAATTGGAGTCGCCCTAATCCCTTCAACAGGGTCAGACTCTGGCCTTTGTCCATTCCAGGTCCCAATCCTGTTCCTAGGATCGGGAATTGGCCTTGCTCTTCTTGGAGCACGGGCTCTACCTCTAACTCCTCTTGCCATTGATTATTTCGAAGAAAAAAGTCGAAAAAAAAGGGAAGGAGTTCGAATTCGAAGAAAAATAAACTGAAATCAAAGGAATTTACCTTAATCTGAAGCGAAAGTTGCCGATTTACGAGTTCGTAGTGGCAAGTCTTAGTTTCTAAGCTTAATGCTCGGGGAATTTGCGAAGTTTTGATGCGGGTTCTTGGGTTCTCTCGAGATTTCTGGGTTTGTGTTGGTGAATAAGTGAGGAGAGATGACGCGCTTCTGATTATATCTCCAGAAATGGGAATACGGGGAGTCCGCGTTTCAATTTCTCTTAAATACCCCACTAAGTAACCGTTAAACACACGACCTTGCGATTAAACTGCCCATTATCCGTCCAACTTCCACAATCATCCGCCTTAACCGTTGTTATCTCATTAATTACGGTTTAAATTCAAATTTTTGGATTAATTAAATCATTTACTTCCCTCCTTTTCTGAATTAAATCAAACCCGACCTGTCATCCTTCCAAATCGGGTCTGGGGGGCAAGTTGTTTGGGTCCAATTTAGTCCAATTGGGCCTAGGCATTAAATGATCCAATTAAAAGCCCAAGGTCAAGGTTCAACTCTCCAATTGTGCTAAAGTCAAAGGTCAGCCCTCAAAACAAGCCAATTGGGCTAAGGCCCAACTTCTCCATGTATGAAGAGGTATAAAAGCCATCAATATTCATATATTCACATTCATTCACATATTCTCATATATTCTCATATATTCAAGCAAAGCCTCAAGCAACTAATTCTCTTGTATAGTGTTCTCTTTCTACACATTGTACTGACTTTAGCATCGGAGGGGCCTTCCTCGGCAACACCCCCGAGGCTAGTTTACGTGTGTTTACTGTGCAGGAAACCTTCGGCCCAACATTACTTGGACCGAATCCAGTCTTCTCCGTTTCAGCGGACCTTCGGCAAGGTCCCATTGTTTTCACCCGAAACAACATATATTCCCAATTTACGTCTAAAATATTCCCCATTTACGTATTTCATTACTCGTAATTTTATTCATACCTGTGAAAAATCTCAAAATACAACATCAGACAAAAAACAAAAGGTATATTATTTTCAAAAAAAAATCCACGTCATAGTGGACAAAGCTTAACAGGTAGCCACGTCATCAAGCAACAGTTAATTTAAAAAACACACAAAAATTAAAAAAATAAAATAAAATAAAAAGTAAAGAGTTTAAAAAAGAGCATGAAAGTTGTTGTCGACTCCATTTTCCTCTTCCCCAAGCCAAATTAGCCAGAGTGCGCCCACCGTTTTAACTCCAGTCACCTGATCATAACATTCCCTTTCTCTCTTGTATTTTCTCTCTCCTCTTTTCAATTTAATCTCTTCTACTAATCACAATTCACAACAATCTTCTTCTTCTTCAATGGATTCTGTCTTTGCTAATGTTGTTCAAGCCCCTGAAGATCCCATTTTAGGGGTATCATTTTTCTCTTCTTTTATTTTTATATTATGATGATCAATTTGTTCATTTTTTTGATTTTCTTGTTTCTTGATCAATTATTGCTTTATACCTTTATGATTACCATTTGCTTGATTTTTGTCATTTTTTATTTGGGTAATTGATATATAGAGCTTTTTATTTGAATCTAAAAGTGAAATCATAATAATTTATTGTAATGAAATATATTAATGCTTATAGTTTTCATAATTGTTTTTTTTAAATTTTTTTTTTAATCTTATTTTTCTGATGATGAGCTTGGTGATGATCCAGATAATTGGTTTAGATGAATTTTCTGTGGAAAAAAAGTTGATCAATTCGTGATTTTGTCATTTTAATAATTTAATGTAATACTTCATGTGTATAGTTATAAAAAATTGATTTTGGTGATTTTTTTTTTTTTTTTTTTGTTTTTTTTTTGTTTTAAAAAAAAGGTGACAGTTGCTTATAACAAGGATCCAAGTCCAGTAAAGCTGAATTTAGGAGTTGGTGCTTATCGAACTGAGGTACATTCAATTTAAAACTAGTTCAATTACAATTTTAGTTTATGAATTTACTAATTTGGAATATGAATTATTATAATTGCTGTAATTGATGATAGGAAGGAAAGCCTCTTGTATTGAATGTAGTCAGAAAAGCTGAGCAATTGTTGGTTAATGATCCGTAAGTATTTTTGTGATCAATGTCATGATTCGGCTCGTTTTGTGTAATTAATCTTGTTTACTGTGTGATTTTGATTCATTTGCTTTTAATATGATTGTAAGGTCTCACTTGAAGGAGTATCTTCCGATTCTCGGACTGTCTGACTTCAATAAGCTCTCTGCAAAGCTCATTCTGGGGGCTGATAGGTAATTTTTTTGTAGTTTTCTTGTTGCTAGTTGTTGCTGTTTTGTGTATAATACTTATCTCAACCTGTGGTAATAGTTACTTGTATATATGTAATTTGTGATGTTCGGCAAAAGTTGTGATCTTTTCCTTGTATTTATGTAGTACTCCGTCTGTCAGGAATCAATAGTCACAATGAGGATGTCTAGATGAAGTTGCTACTGTTTTTTGCCTATGGAGTAATAGTTTATGATTAGATGTCCTAATATGCCACTACTTATATCAAGTAATGAGGTTTCTTTGTAATTCATGTCATATCCTCGATTATGAGGGGTTTAGAGTGCTGACTCCTAGATTAACTAAATTCTTTTGAATGGAAATTAGATGGGTTGTTACTTACAATATCTAGACTACCAATGATTTATGATCTAAATTTGTAATAGTATAAAGTAGAAGTGACACGAAGGCTACATGGGTTGGTTCATTATATAATCCTTGACTCCTTGTGTTCTTGCTGCTAGCGCATTTTCATTACAATACTGATTGATATTTGAGAGATTAACACATTTTTCAGATTGCCGACACCACTTTAAGGCTTTGATTGATTGATTGAACACATTGTTTAGATTGAGAGAATTGGAGGGAAAGGAAGAGAAGAGAAAAGAAGGGATTCATCCTACCTTCTTTGGATACCTTTTGGTAGGAGGGAAGGGAAGGGAAATGGAAGGATTCATTTTCCTTCCCTCTTAAATAAACCAAATCCTTCCAATGTTGGAAAGATTTGGAGGGAAAATGTAACCTTACCTTCTCCCTCCCCTTCCATTCCTCCCCCTTCCTTCTTCTTCCCTCCCTTCCCTTTCTCTTCCACTTTGCTATCCAAACAAACTGTAAATTTCAAGGCCTTGAGATATTCTGTGTGTACTACTACTCTTTGTTATAATGCTTATATGTCACCGCAACTCAGGGTAGCTTACCTTGAAGTTATGACTTTCTTTTGCTTGCTAAATGGTTAAAAAGTGTTGTACTTAGAAAAAAAATTTATTGGAACTACTTTACAAATTACGTTTTGCGGTTCAGTTGTTATTCATACTTCTTGAATTTTATGGATCTAGTTATACTGCTTTCTCTTATGTTCCTAGTGATTCTCGTTTCCTACAGCCCTGCTATATTGGAGAATAGGGTTGCTACTTCCCAGTGTTTGTCTGGTACTGGGTCACTTAGGGTTGGAACTGAATTTCTTGCAAGGCATTACCACCAAGTATGCTCTCATGGTTTCCTTCAACGTTTTTGATAAGCAACTATGTACTTTTCTCGCAAAACAGGAAAACACAAAAGACTATATACTGATGGGATGATTAAATTTACTTGTGTAATTGATTTTCAGCGCACAATATACATTCCCCAGCCAACATGGGGAAACCACCCAAAAGTTTTCACTTTAGGAGGGCTTATTGTAAAGAGTTACAGATACTATGACCCAGCAACACGAGGTCTAGATTTACAAGGTTAGAATCCCTTATCTTCAGTTTTGCAGTTTCTCATAATTCCTATCTTGTTATGCTTTATTTTTGCATTACTCCATCCAAGTCCCTACAAGTTATTCTGTTGGTTAGAACTTAGAAGTGACTCACATATCTAAGTACTCTTTTTTCCATTAAAACAGGTCTCTTGGAGGATCTAAATTCTGCTGAGTCAGGAGCAGTAGTGCTTTTCCATGCATGCGCTCATAATCCAACTGGTGTTGATCCTACCCTGGAACAATGGGAACAGATAAGACAGCTAGTAAGATCAAAAGCGTTGTTACCTTTCTTTGACAGTGCCTATCAGGTAATATCACTATTCTATGTGCTATTTCTGGTAGTAGATTGGAGTGTAGGTTATGAAAATAAACTTTGACATGAGTTCTAATGTATTGCAGGGCTTTGCAAGTGGAAGTCTTGATGAAGACGCACAGTCTGTACGTATGTTTGTTGCTGATGGAGGTGAATGTTTCATAGCTCAAAGTTATGCAAAAAATATGGGTCTCTATGGAGAACGTGTTGGTGCTCTCAGCATTGTAAGTCATTGTATTGCATTTAATGTTTTGCTGAAGTTGATGAATTAAAAATTATAATGATTATGAATTTCTAAGTATTACTTACGATGATTTCAATTGGTAGGTTTGCAAGACAGCAGATGTCGCAAGCAGGGTGGAAAGCCAACTGAAGCTTGTGGTTAGACCTATGTACTCCAATCCCCCTATTCATGGAGCATCTATTGTAGCTAAAGTACTCAAAGATAAGTATGTATTTTATTTTATCAATAATTTGACAAATGAAATTTGCTTATTCCAAATGATTAATGATACTAGCAAAACTAGAAGTGGCATAAAAACTATTGGACAAAAAACATTTTTTCTATTGGTCCATCCTTGTACTAATTGGTATGTTTTATATTGCTATTCTGAAAGCTGTTATGGCATTGAGGAAATAATTACAAAGTACTTCGTATATAGTTACCATGCTAACTTTGTTTTTGTTGCTCAAAATGGGTGTTAATTTTCTTCAGGAATTTGTATGATGAATGGACTGTTGAGCTGAAGGGAATGGCTGATCGAATCATCAGCATGCGCCAGCAGCTCTTTGATGCAATAACTACTAGAGGTGAGGGCTGAGGACTTTGAGGAATGACTAGTGACTTATTGTAATATATATAGGCTTGTGTGCTGCCAGTGGTTCTCTTCTATCTAGTCTTTACTAGGATTAGGCAACATAATTATCAAGATTTTACAAATCTTTATTAATATGACTCGACTGCTGATGTCCTTGGTATATATATGACAGCATGAACAATATATTTTTCATCTCTTCAATCTGATTGACGCAAATTGCATCAGTTGAGACCATTTAAACATAGTATTGTACATTTTCCCACTTGTGAACTAAATGTGAAGTGTCTTGCAAAATCATATCAATAATGTGCTCTTTTTGACAGGTACACCTGGAGACTGGAGTCACATTATCAAACAGATTGGGATGTTTACTTTCACTGGCTTAAATGCTGAACAAGTTAGTTTCATGAGGCAAGAGTACCATATCTACATGACATCTGATGGGTAAGAACACATTTGTTTATTTAGTAGTTTTACCTATCACAGTCTGAATTCTTCTTCATCCCTTGACACATGCACACATATACCAGTGTGGCAGAGGGTGAGTGAAGGGAAATTCACTGCTCTTCTGATGTTTCATTTCTGTAATGTCCATTCAGTTTACAAGCTCATGTTCTATGTTTAACTAATCGATATTATTTCTAACAATTGAGAGGGGAAAAAAAAAAGAAAAAAGTTGGTTGGGAGGAATGAGATTCTTGAATATAGACTATTTCATGCTCTAATTTAAGGGTGCAAAACTTGATTCTGACATAGGATTATGTTATCTCTTACTTCGTATGAGTTATGACTGAAATTTTTATATATTGGTTACGCGCAGGAGGATAAGTATGGCCGGTTTGAGCTCTCGGACTGTTCCTCATCTTGCAGATGCTGTACATGCTGCTGTTACCCGGGTTGCTTAGAATAAAACTCAAATTTTGAAGAACGTGGCTGATGAGTTCACTTACTTTCCCTTTCGGAGAAGCTCTATACACCACCTATTTTACTTGTTTGTTGTTTCTAATAAAATTTTCCTGGATTGGGAGCTTTACATGTATTAGCTTGAGCTCAAAATTTTTGAAAAGTTGGCCTTTCCTGAGTTTTAGATAATAAAATACTCAGTGTAAGATGAGTGAAATTGTCTTTGAATAGGTTATCTACGGACGATCATCTTAGATAGTCGTGTTAAAAAGTTGCATAAACTCCTTATTGTCTTTCAATAATACAACAACATTTTTATCCCCACCAATTATCATTTATTAATTATACAACCATATTCTATTATGACTCATTACATATTTGTTGCCACTACCAAACCATCACAACTAATCACTTCATTAACAACAATGCCACCATGTTTTTGTCACTTTGTGTCAATGATTACATTGTAGAAATAAACCATGCAAAAATGAAAAATTAATAACAAACATACACTATGTACTATGTAGATAGGTCAATCCTAAAACATGTACTCTTGAGCCCTTGTACCAGATTAGAGGCATAAGTGCCTTGAAAGAGCATTTTCTTACATTTTTACTTGAACAAGTAAACTACCATAAGAAGATTAAGAACCACAACTATCATCATTCTGTTATTGTCAAATTTGCCACCACGCATGAAAAAAAAGTCAATAATGTCAACATTGTTGACAATTGAAAAAAAGTCAAAGGAGCAGTTAGGCCCAACCCAAGCTCACATGTCATCTTGTTGTGTCGAGTTGTATCGTGTCGTGCTTGCGTGCCTAAATCAAATTTAACTTATGTTATTGTGTTTTGTTGTAGGATTGCAGAATGTCGTGTCTTGTTGTGCTTCTTCAAATAAAGGATTGACTCAAACTCGGCTCCTGACACGACAAACGCAAAATTGTGTTATGTGCTTATGGCATAACATACCTGTTAATGTGTCCTACCCTCGTACTTTTTCCATGCTGGTCGTGGACCAGCTAAATCTTTAGTTTTCCATGCTCCAAATATGCCAGGAACCCTAAATATGAAGAAAATCAAGCTCTAAACTTTTACTCACTTTCAAAAGAACATAAATTTGCATCCCCCAAAAAGGTCAAAAACAAAGTAAAGCAAACTAAAGCAGTACAGTTTCATCTCTGTTCATTACACAATACAAGCTTCTCTCCTCGTTTGATTATTCAAATGGCAAAGAATGTATCTTTCATCATCTCTTACCTCCGCCAAATCCCTAAACCCTCTTTTAGACACTGTTCAATGATATCCCAACCTCAAAATCAACAGCAACAAGAACAATTGATTACAAAAATTGCTGGAGAAGTTTGTGAAATCATTCAAACTCGCCCCAAGTGGGAGAATACACTAAAATCTCTCTTCCAATCCTTCAATTTCTTGGACCCCAGATTCTTCTGTGAGGTACTTAAGCTTCAAAACAATGCATTTTTCTCTCTTCGTTTATTCAATTGGCTTAAATCTCAATCTGGGTATTCCCCTGATCCCATTTCTTGTAAGTCTTTGTTTGATGCTCTTGTTGAATCTAAGGCTTCTGTTGTTGCGAAATCGATTTTCGACTCGTATCCTAAGTTGTTTAATCCTGACCCAGATTCATTAGAGTCTTTGATTTGTTGTTTGTGTAATGATGGTTATGTTAATGATGCTGTTGATTTGTTTGAAAAATTGAAATTAATGGGGCGTTGCCCATCAATTGTAACTTGGAATACTGCCTTTTCCGGGGCGGTTCGAGTTAAGAGAGCTGATATTGTTTGGAGTTTGTATGGGGAGATGATGAATAGTGGGGTTATTGCTGATGTTGAGACTGTTGGGTATTTGATTCAAGCTTGTTGTATTGATAACAATGTCGAGAGAGGGTATGAGCTTTTTCGACAAATTCGGAATGGTGGGGTTGTTCCTGATAATGTTGCTTTGAATACATTGATTAGAGGGCTTTCTATTAGTGGAATGCATGATAGGGTTTCTGAGCTTTTGCATTTGATGATTGAAACAAATCATAACCCTGATATTTTTACTTATCAAGAAATAATTCATGGTCTTTGTAAGTATGGAAAATTGAGTGAAGGGTATCGGATTTTTAATGATCTCAAGGCTAGAGGGTATGCTCCAGATAGGGTGATGTATACAACCATGATTCATGGCTTTTGTAAGAAAAAATTGCTTGGAAAAGCTAGGAATTTGTGGGTTGAAATGAAAGAAAGGGGTATACTTCCAAATGAGTATACTTTTAATGTGCTTATTCATGGATATTGTCAAATCCATAAACTTGAAGAGGCTTTGAAACTGGTAAAAGAGATGTGTGATAGAGGTTGTAAATTGAACACTGTAAATTATAACACCTTGATTGCTGGATTGTGTAAGGATAGACAGATAAAGGAAGCTTGTGAGTTGTTTGAAGAAATGTCTCAGAGTGGTGTTGCTCGTGATGTACTTACGTACAACTATCTTATCCGAGGTCTCTGTAGGGAAGGATATGTGGTTAAGGGTCAGATGCTCTTTGAAGAGCTTTTGGCACATGGATTGCTGCCTTCAACTTCATCATATACACCTTTTATTAAACAACTTTGTCGCCAGGGAGAAACTCAGCAAGCCTTAAAGCTACTGACTGATATGGTGAACAGGGGTGTTGAACCTTCGATATACAACCGGGAGTGTATTATAGATGGATTTTGCAAGGAAGGATTACCAATCGAAGGGATGCATTTGTTGTTAGAGATGTTAGATAGGAAGCTTATTCCAAGTCAGAACATCTTTTTGAAACTTATTATATGTCTTCTTCAGCAAAATGAGCTGGATTCTGCTCTTGTTGTTTTGAATTTTATGGTGCAAGTAGGCTATACGCTTGGGGAAATTCCATGTCGTTCCCTTGTTAGGAAATTTTGTAGTAGTGGTTCAAACCATGTCAAGTTGCTTCTCCATGATATCATCTCCAGTAGCCAGCTTTCTTAGTCTTTTCGCATGAATGTACAGCCTTGATTTTTATGGTTGCAAATTCTCACCATCATTCTTTTGGATCTCATTACTCTGGAAAGAAATTGTCTTTATAGAGGTTGTTCCTGATTTTCTTTTTTCCGGCTCATACATTCTCCTTTAAAGAGAAGAAAGTTTGGTTATGATCAATAGCTGACTTTGGGCTCTCAACAGTTTGCTTTGGTGCGCAGATAATGAGATATTGAGCAGCAGTGAGCTATTGGCAAGTAGTTTCTTCATCTGCTTACAACACAACTTCTATATACAAAGCACTAAGATTTTGCACCAACCAAACCTGGTAAACTTAAAAGTTGCATTTTCTCAGAAAGTGCTTCATGCGAAAGAGATACTGATATACTGGTAGCCCATACTACAGTAATTGCACTTACCCTCCTGTCATGGTCTTCTATGCTGCTACTTATGGAACTCCTCAGGAAAATTCTGGTCTAGTGCCTTTTGCTCTTTATGGCTCTTTATGGCGTGTACGTGAGTAGTAAACCAATACCTTGAACTATCATAATCATTCTCCTACTGTATTTGTTTGTTTAGATTTGATGTTCCAACACTTGTACTTCTATACTCATTGTATTTTTGTTATGTTCTTGATCTTTTGACCTCAATTATTTGATTTAGATTGAGGTTGTTTGTTCAGTTTTAAAATGGGAAGAGCTGATGATAGCACTGCTTCACATCTTATTGTTTGTTTGTGTGTTTTAATTTTAGTTTCTTATGTTTCATTTTGTTCAGCTGAATTAGAAATTGTGTGTTAGGAGTTAGGTCTGGTGGAAAAAGTACAAAACAGTCTTCCTTTTTTATATTAATTACTTTCTCTAATCCAAAATACGTCATTTTAGAGCTATGTATTTATAGTTTAGGATTATATGGCATGGGCCTGGTCCTTCACTAATGAATACGTCCATCCGGATATAGTTTTTACAAAGTTATAAAGTGGCAATTGTATAATGGTATCTGCCGTATTATTTGATAGAAGAAGAAAGATGTTTGTGATTATAAAGGGGTATGATGACCAAATTGTGCGTGAAAACTCTAGAAGGAAACTAAATAAGAGAGGAATCTGCGAAGAGAACTCTAATTTTGCATCAAAAGGAGTAATTGCCATATTTCCTTGAGTATGTGATCTATTCCTTTCTGACTTAATTCAATGAGTTGACCACTGTAATTTGATTTCCTGACATGAGATCATGTAGAAAACATATTTCACTTTGATTACCATTTCTTTCACTTTTTAGTTCTGCTTATCTTGTTCCTTTTATCTAATTATTCCTCTGTTCTGTTTAGCTAATGTTACATGACTTTGCAATCAAATTTAACTGTGATGATGTCTGCATCTAACTGATGACAATGTGGAAAATGAATCCTGCATATTTTCAATCTCTGTTTATATATGCACTTGAATTAGGTCCCATTCTAAGGTTCTTTTATCTGTTGTGTTCCTTTGGACAGGTTACCTAAAAATTTGAGTCAAATCATCTGGCAGATTGGAACTTTCACATTTATTGACGTTGTATATGGAGCAATTAAGGATGAAAAGTATCAAAACTGCATGGGAGTAAGATATGTTGATTTTTTGAGGACATTTTATTATTGATTATACACATGTATGACATATGAATATGCTGGCCAATGTTATTAGGGTATCAGACAAGGCTTAGTTCTTCATTTGTCTGTGTATGTCAATGGATTGTTACATATAAAGAAGCACTAGTGCATTGAAGATTATAAAATATTTCTTTTTTAAATGGCTCATCATCTGATCAATCAGTCAAGTCCATGTTTGTTAAAATATGTTCACTCTCACACACAAACATGACTTGATTCTTCTCTTTTTGGGTTTAGGGGTTTGGGAGTTGAGAGGAACTATCTATGTCAGAGGACAAAACATGCCACAGTTAAGAATCTGCTACAAAAGAAGTATGAAACATATGATATCTAATTTTATCAACTCCACTTCTCTGTTTTGATTTTTGTACAATAAACCTCTTTTTAGGTGCTGCCAGTGCTGGCAATATATTGTTTGGAACACCAACCTCCTGTTTCACCCTATCCAAGATGATGCAATTTGCCAGTGAAGTGAATATAATTACTCTCCTCGTAATGTTGAGTCTTGTATCATGTTCACCGTCTATCTATTTGAGTGTCTTCTTGTATACATCTCAAATATGCAATTAAGTGCTTCAATGTGATTGATTTGCTTATTACTTAATCTTATATTGTTGGATTAGTTTGTCTAGGTTTGAGTTACCTTCTCAATTTCTTGCCAATTCCACATTTGAGTGATGAGCTATCTAGGAGCTGATTAGTTTTATTACAGGTCCTCCAAAAGCTCCTTAGGTCTCTCTAAGGATTGTGTCTCTCTAGAACTTTCATCTTGCTTATTACAGGACCTAATACAAAGATACTTCCTTTCTTCATCTTGCTTTTCATTGAGAATTTTAGTTTTCCTTCTTTTTTATTTTTTTTTATATATTTTCTTCTGTAATGCTTACTTGTCTACTAACCATACTCCCTTAGGTTGGAAAATCTTGCTCTTTCATATTAGTTCACAGAAACAGAGGTGGAGAAACAAAGAGCACTTTAAATCATCATTAGAGCTCAAGTACTCTTTGCCCTCTGACAGTTAGGATATTGTATACCTCCTATAAGCACCCACCTAAGTGGTTAAATGCTGAAACTTCCCTGTCCTGTCATAGGAAGGAAGAACTCCTAGAGGACTAGGTCAGTACAAACCTCAGTGTCTGTTAAAATTTATATACACGTCCCAGAAATGTAAGATGTCTCTAGATGCTTTAGTCCTATGCTCTTTATGTGTCCCTCAGCTTGATCTTTCCCGTCTTTTTCTATCTCATTATGCTGTGCCTTCCCAGTCTTCTAATGCCGTGCTGTTGGACTTCTTAGGCCTCCCCAGTGCTCAAGCTTCTCAAGATAGGAAATCTTCTTGTTTTCTGGAGTCTTTGTCATTATCTTTTCATGCTCTTGCTCTTTCAGGAATTCATCAAAATCACCTGGGCTCTTCTTTGCCGGTTCTCCCTGGTCGACATTCCAACCCATAAAATCCAATAAAGTCATTGATGCTGGTGTCCCTGGTGAGAGATTCTCATCCGATTCACCTCCTGATGCTTTTGCTGCTAAAGCATCAGCATAAATGACATCATCTACCCGATTCAAGATGGCTGCAGCCAGACTTTCTAGTACCCTAGAGTAGCTCTCTAGTACTGCATGTCCCACATCCTGTAATATACAAAGTAAACTTCTTAAATACAAGTTTTCCAGACTTTTAGAGATTATATTTGGAACTGGGATCAGATGCTGAATCAAATAAAATCGTCTTGGTAATTTACCTTATTGTATTGGATTTTGGATATGTCAAGTGTGGACTGAGGGAGCCCTGGAAAGTGGTGTTTAAGTATGAGTAGCAAAGTTTCTGCCCTTTCTTCAAAGAGCTCCCTCTTCTCCATGCTTATGGCTGAACTCCATGACGACTTCCCGTCTTTTTGGATCATCTTCCTCTTCCAAATCACGATTGAGGCTTCAATCCTGTTCTTCAAGTCAAGTACTTTGTGCTCTGACGTCAAGTCCATGGATGACAATAGGCCATCCGGGTCAAAGTATTCATCTGTGATGCTTTTGTAGATTATGTCACCAAGGCTTGCTCGTCCATTCTGTCAAAGCATGCCCAAAGAAAACTTTAGAAGCTAGTTTAACTTCATATATATGTTGGCTAAAAGTTGGATCCTACAACGTTGGGTACAATTTGGATTTAGGTGGTTTAATCTCTAAAAGTCGGGTAATAGTTGAAAGTAACCCACACCTTAGGAAGAGACTCAATGTAGCTTTCTGGGATCTCCATTTCTGAAAGTACTTGGGCATTAATAGCCATGGCTGCTTTCAGAACCTGATTGACAGCATCTTTCTGCTGCTGTATCCATTTTTTCGTCTCAATTGATAGACCGCCTGTTGGGATCTTGACGGTGGGTATCCACCACTTGTCGTTGTCTCGGCTTGAGGCTTTTTCAGCGTCATTTGCGTCCTTGAAATCAACGTACGTAAACTCTGTCTGTCCTCTGAAGTTATCTAAACAGTCCTGTTTTATCAGAACAATATTTTGCTCATCAGTGAGGGAAAAATAGTGCAATTATGAGCAGGAAATAGGTAAATTAGTTTTGTGCCTTCTTACAAGAAGCATGGCATCGAGCTTCCGCAATGCTGGGATGTTAACTAGTAGATCGCTTCGTTGTTTTGTCACCATTATCTGTAGAACACATTCCAGAATCAAAAACCAAATCCTCCTGTAGGTTTCCTGAATACCCAGATAAAAAAGGTCAAGGTGATATTTGTTACCTCCATGGAGGAACCATCAGCAGCTTGTTGCTTTGAAGGGACGAGTTCGACTATGTGGTCAGTGACCGATAAGAGCCAGTCCACTTCTTTTCTCCACCTTGCTTTCAAATCTGCTGGCATTGGCTCTAATTTCTTTGAATCTCCAAATACAGAAGCTGTAGCATAATCATTTAAGAAATTTAGTGTTGTGTAGAGAAATTAAGTGCAAATGATTTGCATTTAAGATTGTTGAATCATATTTTTCCTGTTTTGATGTCTTGTATATTCATTCATAATGTCGTTGGATTAACATAATTTCTAGGTAATACAGCATATGTAATCAACATACCATATGTATATATCCTGTAATATAGGAATTAAGCCTATGAACGACCCATAATATAAGCTGTTTCGCATCATCCGACATTAAAAATTGCAAATTCAACAGAGCAAATTTGTATGACAAAATGTAATGCAGTTTATGTTGTTTAATCAAGGATTATGAACAAAAACATATTAATTTAAGATGACACAGAAAAAAAAAAAAGCAAGAAATATGAACCTGAAAGATTAGTGATTGCATTTGACAAAGCCAAAGCTGATGAAACACCTTTGCCACCACCTGACATATCTTCACCCAACAACAACTTTGCAAACCTTTCTTTCATCAATTCAATATCTGAACAAAACAAAGCCAAATTATTCAAAATCTAACAACATTTTAAACCATAATTTTCCCACCAAAAAACAGGAAGAAAAAAAATGTCTGACAATTTTTTCATCTGAAACCTGTGTTCTGAAGAAAACAGCAGATATGGTATGTAGAATTTACCTGAGAGTGTCTTGGCTGTATTTTTTACAACACCAACATCTTTGGTAACACACGAAGCGAAGGCTTTGTGATTAGGGGAAGAAATCATAGGAGATCCTACAGGCTGAAAAACTTCCATAGGACTTTTTGATTCAGTACTGGGATGACTACTGCTATCAGAACTATAGCTTTTCAAATCAAACATTCTTCTGAAATTGAATGATGACGATCTGCTTCGTTCAAATGATCTGACCATTGTAAGAGGATTCCTAATGAATGTTTTACCCCTTCTTAGTTTGATCAAAGAAGGGTAAAACACATGGTTTTCGCGAAAACCGGGTGGCGAAGATATTTTATTTTCTGACAGATTTGCAAAATTTGCTAATCCCCTTTTGAGGGATTCAATCCTTTAATTATTGTATTTGAAGGTACAACATTGAAGAAAAGGAATTCGGGTTTTCAACCCGAGGTTTTGGTAGAATTATTGGCAAACACAGGGATGTTTTGTTTTTTTTTTTTTCTTTGTTTTCTCGGGTGTGTTTTTTGTTTGTTTGTTTGTTTTTTCGTTTTTCTGACAACAAAAAATGAGTTAAGGAATGTTTTTCCTAAGGGTTTTTTTTTTTTTTTTTGTTATTTTTTTGGTTATTTTTTAGTTATTTTTTGTTGAAGATGTCTTTTTAGCAAAAGATTGTGGGATGCATGATTTTTAGTGATGTAGAAAGAGAAAAAATCTAGGGAGAGAAGTTTGACAGAAAACATAAATTATATAGAGAGTTATTTTAAGTAAAATCGAGCAATTAATGGTTGGATTTTCACCCAAATCTTTCATTTTAGGGGCAAAATTCTCGGTAGCACACCAATTTACAGCTAATTACCTAATTGTTTACTTCCTGTTCTTCAGCCGTCTTCTAATTTGAGGTTAATTAAACATGTTAATTGTCAATTAACGTTGAAGCATCTTTTTTATTTTTTATTTTTATACCATAGTGGTCTTTATTTTTGCAATATAAAAACTATGTGCAATGTTTTCATGTACGAGTCAATGGTCAATGTGTGTAGCTTATTGGTGGTGAGAATTGAGAAACATGTAATTTGTCGTTATACGTGTAATTTATTTTATTGGTATTAAAATTTGAAGTTTTACAATAATTAATTCATCATGTTTGGAAGTTAGCAAGAATAAGTACTCATTCTATGTCATTTTCTATGGAAGGTCAAATAAGTGAATAATTTTATAAAATATTATAGTTAATCTTTAGACTTAATTTGTGGAGTATAGCCAATTTAATCTTGCCACGTGTTAATTATACTCTACTAACTACATAGAGTACATACTATTACACCACATACTATGGACTAACACTAAATCAACACTCCTCCCGAGTCCCGACTCATCATATAACCTGGTTATGTACGTTGATTTTGGTTTATAAAATATAAATAAAGTGATACATATAAAATTTATCAATTAAATTAAAATTGACATATGTGAACGGAAACAATATCCATAAATCAAACGTAGCATATATCAAAGAGTGATGCTCAACCACGTAATCCTAGTGTTTTTTACTCCTATATACTTTGATACATAACACAATAACATATCACCTAACATTTGTCAATGAATAGTGCATTAATCCAACACTTACATTTAGAATTGATAGGAGAAAGTAAGAATGTAAGATCAAACTTGCGAAAGAGCATTGACAAATATAGCGATTTTGTGAATCGAGGTTGATATGGTATAAATGATTGATTTTTTTCTTCACATTTTTACAAATTTTATTGAAAAACTTTATAGCACATATTTATTCTTCCATTCGTAAAGACATCTGTTGTATATGTTTTTCCATTGGTAAAGACATTTGTCGCAGATGTCCCTACCTCTACCACAATAGAGACATCTCCTACAGATGTCCACCAATTTTATTTTATTTTTTTTAAAAAATTTTAATTCGGTTTTTTTTTTTTTTTATAAATATTTCGAAAAATTAGTCAATTAGTCAAAATTAATGTTTTGCATCTAATTCAAATTTTCATAATTAGTCAAAATTAATAATTTTGCATCTAATATGTGTAATAGTGGAGATTTTAAAACATGATTTATTATACTATAAAGTATATTATAAGCTTAATTAAATTTTAATCTCTATTTTACCAAGTATGAATGTTTTAGTCTTAAATCTTATTTTAAGATTATACTATTTCGGAAGCTAATTTTCATGAAGGAAATTAATTTATTCGGCTATTTCACCAAATGCCACTGAGTAATTTCGAAATTCACCAAATGGCATCGAACTTTTCAAAATTCATCAAATGCCACTGAGTTTTAGTATAATATCACCAAATGTCATTT